ATTGCTTTCTAAGCATAGACTAGTGGATCCACTTAGTGAGTAGTTCTATACCCCGGCAATGTATAGGACAATTCTGGCAGCGTGGGCTAGACGATGTATCATCACATAGCTCCTAGTGATGATTGTCGGTTAGAGAATCTCCTAAATAAGATTTATTATTGTATTTTTACATACAATTGAGTTATTATTGCATCTTTGCATACAATTGAGTTATTATCTACTGTTTTAAAAGCTTTCCATATGTTGCATCTTTTATTGTTGATTTATCTTGAGTTGAGTATCTTGAGTTGAGTATTTTTAGTTGCGTGTCTAATCTTTGAGTTGAGTATCTTATTTTTGAGTCGAGTTGAGTTGAGTGAGTTGAGACGTGATAAGTATGTTTCCTTTTATCAATTCAAGCTTATGTTTATGCTTTATAATTCCTCCTACATGCTCGTACATTCCATGTACTGATGCCATTTGGCAATGATGCAGATACAGGTAGCTAGGATTATCAACAAGCTCTTCGTTGATACCATTTACAGTTCGAGTTAGCTTTTGGTGAGCCACCTTGCTTCTGGAGGATTCCATTTACTTTTAAGTTTTGTTAGGATTTCGTGGGTCTTGTCTGACTTCCATCTTTGTCATTTAGAGGCTTCATAGATATATAGTAGAGTTTCAGAAGTCTGTTTCATTTATTTTGTTAAATGTTTTAAAGACTTGAGTTGCCTATTTCTGGCTAGTTGAATATACTATTATATTCAGAGTTAATCATTTGAGTTAAAACTTTGTATTTGAGTTTAATGAATTTTATTCAATTTTAAGCTTTGTATGATTGAGTTAGTCTTCTGCTTGTAGTCAGCCAGGATGAGGGTTCACTTGGGGACCAGCAATGGTTCTCGAGTGCCGGCCACACCCAGGGTGTAGACTCAGGTTGTGACACTACTGTGACAATGATGTATCAGATCAGTGATGACACTAACAAAGGGTAATTTAAGAATCAAAATAAATGAGATACATTTAAAAACTGTATCTTTTACAGTGATGACCATGTAATGGTAGATCCAACTTTTTCTCCTCTTTTTTGGGCAATTTTCAACGGTATATTTAGAGCTCGAGCATGTGTCCTTCCTCGACTCCTCCTCTCACAAATGTATCATGAATATAATTTGGTACTGTGTACAGATACATATTCTTCTAAATTTGGATAACCGTAGAAGATACATAGCAACACTTGATACATGATAAAATGATACATTTGGTAGAGACTACCTTTTTCCATTTCATAATGCAGTTTCACCAACAAAAGAGGATCCCCTGGAAATATTTGCTGCAAGGATCAATGTGGATACATCATCTCTTTCACCTTTCCCTTATGAATTTTGTGAAGGTGGAAAGGGAGGAGATCCGGTAGTTCTTTTGAAAAAATTGTGGAGCGAAGACTTACTTGAGTTCTTTGAAAAAAGGTGTGGAGCGATCTGAAAGGAGAGAGAACAAATTTGAAAATTAAAAATTGAAGGAAGTGAAGATTGAGGGAGTGAAAATAGGAAGAGATTGAGTGAGTGAAAATAGGAAGATAAATAGGGAGTGAAAATAGGAAGAGAAACGTGTACTTGAGTGTTGCAACTTTATGTATCCAGAACAATGGGGTTTGGAAGGAAAAAGAGGGATTTTGGAAATATTTTAAAATGGTAGTAAATAATGGAAATTATGGAAAATAAAGGTTGTATATAGGTAATTTATCCAAAAAAACAAAAAAACCAGCACAATAAAATAGGGAAAAGAATATAAGTTTAGCTCTCTAATTTTTTCACTTCACCCTTCTCAATATTACATAAACAAGATTATATATGCAAAGGACAATAAAATGACAATCTCAAAGGAATAGAAATTAAAGTGTAAGAGTCAATGTCATAAAATATATTAAAGACAATATATATTACCAACTTTAATAGTGATTTATGATATAATCAAAATGATTTAACACTCAGTTAATAAAATAAATATGGATAATAATATCAATACTTCTTTTTGAGATATTAGAATTATTTTTCCAACAATCCCCTACATATCTCAAAAGAATATTAAGAAATAGTATAAAACAAGAAGTTTTGATGGGTTTTCATTTACGAGTACAATGCTTCGAATTTTGTATCGCGTAGATAATGAACCAGACCTAGGCAAAACAAGATTAAACTTACAGAACAACTGGTGAAGTTCAGAACTTCTATGAACCAAGAATTCTTTTATAAACTTAGGGTCTTATTCTATCACATCATATTCGCACAATCTTGTCGTTATCATGATTTTGCACTAAGAGGACATGTGCGTGTCCTGGTATTCATGAGTGCTCTAAAAATTTGTCACAATTTCATAGAAGCAACACCACTTCACACTCATATAGGTCGAATCATCAAGTGTATTCTGCAGAACAATACACCACCTATAAGGAATATGAATTGGTTTAAGAGTTCTAACACAACCTCACTTTGCCCTGCAGGTTGTTGCACTATGTTCACACATCATAGGAGGGACATAATTTTATAGTGCTTACTTGATCAATCACATAGGTAGGATTACCATCATTGTTGATCTTCTAAAATTGACTAAGGTCTTACTCCCTTCGATATTTGATTTAGTCTGTGAATTGATAAAATTCACCATGACTACACATAATAATTTCATGTCACAACAGTTGTTTTATCATATTATGTCTCAAATACATGTATTAATTTTTCATAGAATTTTTTTTTCTTTCACAACAAGTTTTATTTATGAATTTTGAAATCCACTTACTATCATTGTACCTCTCTAGTACAACAAAATATTCACTTTATTGGGTACTATACTTGTGGTACCTCTCATGCATGTATCACCAATGACTTCTTTCCAAAATAATGCATCAAGAAGGAATAAAATTTTCAACAAGAACATGAGGAATATAATCACTTTTTAAAAACTTAATAATTCTTTATTTATTTTTTCAAATCTAACGTTGAAGTCAACCATATCACAACTGATTACCACAAATCCAACATTTATTAGCATACAATCAAAAGCTTGAATCAATTTTTTTAATGTTTTTAGGATCATGTAGTATTATAACCTTAATAAGACACCCTTACACTTTTAAATAATTAAAAATAGTGGAGTAGCTTTTTCACAACACATAAGTATGTAACATGCATATTATACACCAAAACATAACAAAATTAAAATTAAAAAAAAACCGTCTCATTTACTGAAGAAGCAAAACAGTTTGAGAATATACACAATCAAAGATTCAACAAAATGGATAAGATTCCTTACCAAATTTTTTTGAAAGAAATAATTCTAATAAATTTAGTACTCAAAAACACGAACAAGTATTTTTCTATAAACTTAGTTCAACACAAATTCCATTCTTAAAAGATGCGGCATAGGCATCAATAATTATTTTTCTCTATACCACTTTTAAATAAAATATTTTCTTAACCCTGCAACAAATCTTTTATGTATAAAATTTGAACACCGTGAAGTACAATAATCAATATTACACGAGCCAATCAACAAAACACAAATATAGCACTTTTAACGCTTGAATAAGTAATATTAAAATCAAGACCTTGCATTTTCTTAATATAAAATAAATTAAGTAGACTATAGGTCTAAAATGTCACAAGTTATATGGCTCAATCAATAAATATAAGCACTAGAATTTTCATTTATTAAAAATATTAACCACAAATAATTCATGCTTAAAATATTCATCGCCCATAACAACATTTGTTTATACATTATCAACTCAAATTAAATATTAATTCAATCTTTTCTCACAATTCCACAAGCATCAACTTGCACGAATAATGTCAATATCTTTCATATGTTGGTTAAATAAGAAGAACATTTTCATTTTAAGAACTTCAAGAATCACCAGCATATATAAATTTTTCTTCTTCTACAATATGGGTGTAGAACACAAAATTTTTAGTTCACACAAATGTGTTCAACAACGTCAAAGTCTAACAACCAATCTTTCACATATTAGCCACAAGATTTCCTTAAAAACTGACCACAATAATTTATATCATCCGCTTACAAATTTTTTTCTTAACGGGATTATCATTTCTCCGAATCATCTTCTACATTAAGGGGTATAATGACTTAATTAAACTATACACATCCATTAAAACGGTAAAGAATTGTGGTACGTACATTATTATTATGAACACAAATTCAATTGACCTCCTATTTGTTTGACGAATGGAAATTTGACATTCCTATTAGCAATCAGTAATCTTAATTAGTACCTCAATTCATCTCACAATTCCTTTGTTGTCTTTGCTCAGTAGAAAAGACCCAACTACAAGAATAACTAAAAATCATTCTTCAAATATTCTACCTTGTTAGAATTTTGCAGCCACCCATTTAACCGTCCACACCAAAACTTTAACATCCCATTTTGAAGAGATAAAGGAGCACTGACGATTTTGCAAATAGTTTTCTTAAGAATAAAGTATAAGAATATACTTAAGATTGTTGGAAATCTTATGGAAAACACTTCTTCATGAACACTTGTAAGAAATTTTCACAGCTTGAGGCATGTCAAAAGATACCGTCCTTAAGAATATTTCACCTGATATTGAGGTGTATCCCCCAGAATTCAACAAGTTATTCTAGTATAAAACTAGGAGTCAGAAACTAACAAAGATTCAATAGAATAAAATAGGGAAAGAATATAAGTTCAACTCTCTGATTTTTTCACTTCACCTTTCTCAGCATTACATAAACAAAATTATATATGCAAAGGAAAATAAGCTGCCAACATCTCAAAGGAATAAGAACTACAGTGTAAGAGTCAATATCATAAAATATATTAAAGACAATTTATTTTGGTCAAAAGTAGACATTGCAACTGCCAATATATATACTACTAGATTGGATATGTCCCATGCTGAGCACGGGCCCAACATTTTATATTTTCAAGTAAGTTACGTGAAATCTTTCTATAATAAAGGGCGTAACGAGCCTCCAGGCAGAACTATAGTAACATGTACAACATTAATGTTAAAAGTTATAACATAAACGAAGAAAAGAAATCAAATATATCTTGTAATGTTATTACAAGCATGTTTACATATATCTAGAACTATCTTCTGCTTGAAATGTCAAAATACTTGATGGAAACTCTGAAGATGAGTTCTTTTTCTCCTGCAACAACTAACATGCAATGATAAGTTACAAAGTTTCAGAGTGGATGATTAGAAACAATATCTGTTGTACTCTCTCTGATTTTTTCTTTTTAAAAAAAGGATTCACTTTTACTTTAGTTTCTTTCAAAAAGAATCTCTTTCCTTTTCTAGCAATATTTTTAATTTTAGCTTTCCACTTCTGTTGAAAGAGTAGTTTAAAGAAGAGCAGGGGAAACACAATTTTGTATTCTCCCTTTCCTCTTTACATATAAAAACAATCAATACCTCCAAATGCAATCACATTGGAATCTATCAACTTCAAACTTTCACAAAGCAAACCAAAGGCACAAAAACAAACTTGAACCGATATATATATAAACAAAATGAGAGATATCTGACGGTAGAAAAATAAATGTTTCTTGTTAAAAGAATCAACTTCATCAAACTAAAAATTGGACAAATCCTGACAGCCGTAGTATATTAAGGACAAAGTATTGAAAGCTCTAATAAAGAGGTAGTCTTATATCATGTTTAAACTTTTTTGCATATGTATACATAGTTTGAACAGGAAGTGAAGAAATGGAAACAATGAGAAAGCACATTGACTTGACAAGATCGAATGTCAAAAGCAGATGTATAGCTAAGTAAGACGGCGTACCTCTGGAACTTCGTCATGGGGGCAGTGAGCAACTGGACTAATCTGATAATATGGAGCTTTAGGGAACTGACGTTTCACTTGTAATCCCCAAATAGGCGTCACCCATAGATCTTCTTTTCCGTAAATAAGACAGACCGGTACATTGTTCATTCGACACCTAAATATAGAAAGGTGAAAGACTTAAGCCTTGCTACATTATAAGAAAACATATGCAAGCGAAATGCTACGGCTATGTAATACTACTTGCTTTACCTACCCCATCAGTGCCTCTTTGAATTTAGTTGTCCCCGAGGAGCGAACATCATTGAGGCAAGGGATAGTTGCACGCCCTGCAGAAGCGATAACAACATCAGAGGTAAGTGCATAACTTGATATACTTTCTTTATCACCAAAAAACATAACAAAAGAACTTGAAAATTCCTCCGGTGTTGAAAAAGCTCCCCTACAGTCATTTTGAATCATTATTTCATAACTACAATCTTTTGGCCAATAATCAATTTGTGTAAAATACAATAGTAAAGTTTCAAAATCATATTTTATGTTACTATAAAGAATGTAGCAACTCTATCTTGAAGCACACCTCCTGGGTTGTAAGCCCAAAGAGTAGTTCCTTATAATTATTAGCCGAGTCACGATTAATTACTACGAAGAGTAATTTAATTTAAACATTTCTTCAACTGAATAAATTTGATTTATATTAGTGTTTCCTTTCCTTCAAGGTCATAGTTCACCAGATGTAAATATACACAATCACACTTAAAAATGCCACACAATTATCAAGAACATATAAAGACATCAAAATATACATTGCTCTATTTTAGAAATAAGACTTGAGGGATGCGAACACCACTATATTCATTGTACAAAAAGCAGTAAAAATTTGTACTAAAGAGGGTATGAACACTGCTCTATTAGTTGTACAAAAAGGAATGAAGATGTACTCTCAAAATTATCCCCAACTTACTCATAAGGAAGAATGAAGTTATTCCATCTATTCAACTATTGGTTATCAACAAAAAATAGTTCTGCTTCTATGAATACTTTTTTTTTTCACTTTACAAATTATTATAAACAAAGATACACATTTACACCAAAAGGTGGAGATCGTAGAAACAAAGGTAAACATTGAGCACGCTATAAATAAACATTAAAATTGATCCAAGTTAAATGTAGTATATTGGATAATACTTATCACGAAAGTATTGTCTCTCACAACATTCAATGAGGTAACTCCAAAAAGCTTCTATGGATCAAAAGTTCATCATTTCTTCAAAGCTTCTCTTGCAGTATGAACTGTACAATAAATTACTGATCATTTAAAAATAGCACTAGGACTACACTTAGTAATTCTTTAGTTCACAGAGGATCCCAACATATATGTATAAGTTTCAGTGCATAGTATTTATTTTATCAAGGTTATTCAGTAGAAAAACAGAAAGTACTTTTTTGAATTTTCTTTTAATCATGATGATGTACCTATCAAATGGTTGCACAATTTATCAAAATATTCTGGAAATTTCAAAAGAAAAAAACATTGTTAGTAGTATGAGACTAAGTTGCCCGAACTTTCAAAAAGTGTTGCTGCATTGGTGTGGGATCCTTCAAAAATATACTATTTTTGAAGGACCCGACAAGCACCTGTCAGCATTTGTAAAGAGTCCGAACAACATAGGTATGAGGGATATCATCAAACACCTTGCATTTTCTGTCTATGGTAATGTTGTCTGGTCTCAATATGCTTTCCTTTTGTTTTCTTCTTTCTCTCTATTATCAAGAGGAAAGTCTTATACAATGAAATGGACAATTTCTCACAAAAAAGATGAGTACGAATGGAGAAGGGAGAAAAAACACATGAATTTATAAACAATGAAGAAATGAAATCTTATTAAAATTATCTATCTAATTACAACATATGCTTTTGCTCCGTTTTGCAAAAGAAACCATCAGAAGTTACATTCAATAATTGTAGAAGCTACACTCAACAATTCTCCTGAAATTAGCTTTCTTGCTCGAAAGAAATGCAGGATAAAGGTATAAAACTATAAATAGTGAAATTAGCAGATTTTTCATTATGTTAGATCACAATGTTCAGGCATTAAATTTAGATATGCTTAAAAATGACATTCTATCTTAAACGGAAATCTATCTAAGCTCTAATACACACGACTAAAATTTAGAGTATGTCATGTCGTAGGAAAGACTGACAGTTGGTAAGTTTATGAAACTAAACGACCAAACTAAACCTCATTTGGGCCTGTGTTGACAAGATATCTAGCAGTCAGTAGTAGATATTGTTGTTGAATAGATAAGAGATGCAGTGGAACCCAATGAACAGATTATGACAAAGAAGAGCTCATATTATGTTTATATTAGTACTCCAACAATATGAATTAAAGGGTTCAGTACCTCTAAATGCCCCAATTATTCTTTTTGGACGGTAGTTTTATCATGATGTATGAATCCTTGAGTTGATTTCTTTTGGTTATACTCTGTGATGCACAATATTTGTATTAGCTAGTACTCTACTCTTTGGATGTTTGCTTGGAAAATGTTCTCCTTTGTACCAATTTGGTTATTTCATTTTTGATGATACCAAGCAAAGCAAAAGTATAAAAAAAATGCATTCAAGCGAGCTATTTGGACCAAAGCATATTAAAACCCATACCAGCACACACATCCAAAATATATGCTCTAGCGATATAACTAATGATTAGAAACACTTTGCTCAAACAAATGTATATGCATGTCCAAAAGAAGAATAACAAGGCACAAGCGAGATAAACTGTGCAGAAACTTCTAGTATAGCCATAAGAACATGCAAGTAGAAAATTTTATAATAAACTAAGAAAAAAAATCAGAAATCACCCAAGAATTGACAACAAATCTACCTCCAATAGAAACGAAAATTAAGGGGAAAAGGGGTGAGAAAAGTAAGAAAATCAAAATCTGAAAAATCAAAACAAAAGAGTGAGAAGATTAAGAAAACCAAAAACTTATAAGAAGAAAAGCAAAGATTTTAATCTAAAGACCGAAAGACTTACCAGTTTAATCCTCCTCTTGAAAGAGATTGAATTAAGAGCTCTAATTACCATTAGATCAACCCAAAGCAATCTCAATTTCTCACACGTGGAAATAAAAAGCCTTCAGTTGTTAATGACCAATCAAATTGAGCCACAAATGGCCAAAAATTATGAGGCCTTATACTACAACTTAAAATGCTTTTGATATTACAGTACAACTTGAAATGCTTTTGATACCACTTCTTAGAGCTGTGTTAGTCCCAACACCAAGTCTCACTTCTAAATAAGGGTAATATAATATATATATATATATATATATATATATATATATATATATATTACCAACTTTAATAGTGATTTATAATATAATCAAAAAGATATTAACACTCATTTATATAATAAATATAGATGAATAATATCAATACTTCTTTTTGAAATATTAGAATCATTTTTTCAACATTATCTACTAACACGCAATCATCTAAAAAACTAGAAGTAACAATGTTCAACAATTAAAACAAGTTTCATCACTAAAACCCATTATGATAAAACATATGCGGACATAACCTCCTAAAATTTGAAAGTCATGTCCCGAAACATCTACATAGTCTAGAATACGGAGATGCAACCCCAAAACAAAATAAGTCTAAGTCCAAAAAAATGGACTGAGGAAAAAGATGAACCCACATCATCCCGAAAGAATTAAGCAACTCACCCTTGGACTCAGAAAGAGCCAAATTCACAACTGAGGTCGTGTAGCAACCGTTGGAATATGCCCTATACTCAACAAAAAAGGAGAAAGAGCAGTAATCAGTACACAAAATTAATAGTACACTAGTTATAAAATCATCGGTCAGCTCCAATTATACTAAATATAAACAGTTAACAGAAACTTAGTAAAACAAGACAACATGATAATATAGCTACTCATCCTGATTTAACAATCACAAAAATATGTTTAATAACATTACAATAAAACCAATCTGATCCACTCATGGAACCAACACACAGAACAATCACCTATACAAGACGTGACCCGAAAACCAATCGATATAAAACTTGTACCAGGCGTGGTACTAGAGAAAACTAATAGATATTCTGTATCATTAATCAAGCTTGGTACCCAAGCCAACCAATGGCATGTACCATGTGTGGTACATAGGCCAAGAGAAATACACATCACATAATCACATTCACGCTGCACATAATCACACTTGTAAAACACAATTAAATATGACAAGTTCATTATATGAGATTTTTTTTTTAATTAAATATTGGCCATGGGCCATTTTATAGATTAAGTGAAAAAGAGAGTAAAGATTTACCCAACCCAATAGTGGTGGACCCAAAAGCTAAGAAAAAGACAAACTAAAGCTAAAATAAAATAAAATAAAAATAAAAATAAAGCCACAAAAATTATCCTAGAAAATGTCAATCTTTCTCCCATTTGAAATTAAGGAAAGTCATGTCTCTCTCAAGATCGTGAGCTTCTGCGGGTTTAACCGGTAAGTTCACCTTTTTCCTTTCCTTTCAATTCCTCAATCTGCATTTCTCAATTGTTTTCATTTTTGTTTGTCGATTTTCCAGGCAGTCCCTTGTTGTTGTATGGTTTCATCTATGACAGAGTTATCTTCTTTGAATCTTGTCACCATACCCTTGTTTTTCGCCTTACACTTATCTTGTGTTAGATCTGTAACCTGTGTTAGTAGTGTAGTTGTTGTGCTCTGGTTTTGTTTTCCGTGAGCAGCGTAGTTGTGTGCTCTGGCTTCGTTTGTCGTGCCTGTGAACTCTTTACTGTTTTGTAGTAATGTATCTACTCCTGACCATCAATTATTTGTGTGTTGATCACCTGATTGCCTTGTTCTTGATTCTTAAATTCGGTACCGAGTGTTTGTCCAAGTTGAGGATTTTCCTCCCCTGCAATGGTAGTTCGTTGTATGTATTAAATTGTTGTCTCCCTGTCATTTAAAATGCATAATTAGCTAAGTAGTCGGCTAATGTATTCCCTTCCCTATAAATGTGTTCAATATTAACAGTAGAATATTGCATCAGTGTTAGAGTGTCTTCCACTATAATTCTAATGTTCCATGGTATCTCCCAATTTCCTTGTAGTATGTTTTTCAATAGCAATGAATCGGTCTCTATTGTTACTCTCGAAAATCCCCTTGTTGTACAGTGATATATTGCTTCCTTTATTGCCACTGCTTCTGCTTCCACGTTAGTTGTTTCTGGTATCTCCTCTGCTTGTGCATAGATTAAATTTCCTTCCTGATCCCTTAGGCAGTAAGCATAAGAGCTCTTGCCTGGATTGCCCTTACTTGCTCCATCTGTGTTGCACTTTCTAGTATTTGAATTTGGGGGCATCCATATGATCTTTTTGTAGTATATCCTTGGCTTGTAGTTCTCTAAGAATTTGACCATATCTGACCAGTTGGTGGGAAATTGTTTCATACTTGGAAAACTTGATCTTGCAAATTGCCATACATTGAGGGTAACCTGATAGACAAGTTTATTATATGTCATGTTTCCCCATGTTTGATGATATTTCTTCTTTTCCATATTTCCCAAAGTATAATTGCAGGCATAATTTTCATAATTTGTTGGAGTTTGTGACCTGCCTGTGCTATCCACCATGTTATTAGCACTTGGTTTAGGTTTTGTCCTTCTAATCTTAGACCTGCAAAATGAGCAAACATCCTCCATAACTTATAAGCTATTGGAGAGGTTAAAAAGAGATGTTCCACAGTTTCTTGTGTTGGATTATCACAACACCAACATCTTGATGATATGTTCACCCCCATTCTCATCAATATATCATCAGTGGGTATTCTATATTTCCAAACTCTCCAAATAAAGAAAGATATTTTGAATGGAAGTCTCTTTTCCTACATGTTAAGTAATCTACTTTGCCTCTCTTTCCTCTGTCTCACATACTCCCAGGCACTTTTAACTATGAATTTTCCACTTTCTTCAAGCATCCACCATGTTCTGTCCAGTATACCATCAGAAGTTGGACTTGGGATTGTTTTCAGTATGTGTTGTACAATATCTTCTGATAACCACCTTCTTAGTTTGTCTACTTTCCAACCCTGTTGATTTGCAAATTCCTTGACCTCTATCTCTTCCTCTTGACTGGTTTCATGACTGAAGTAATATAGCGCTCCTTGAGTTGTACTTGAGTCTCCCCCTTTAATTTGCCACCATATTTGATGTTCTATCAACTCTCTAATCTTGATCATTGTTCTCAATGTGGCAGATGCTCCCTTACTCTGAGCAATTACTGGATGTAGCTTTTTACAGTATTTATTACCCATGTAAGAGCTCCAAAGTGTAGTCTTTGTTCTGAAAATCCACCATAATATGCAAAATAGAGCTTTAGATATATCAGCAAGAGATCTAAAACCAACTCCTCCTTCCTCCTTAGGTAGACATAATTTATCCCAACTTATCCAGTGCATCATATGTATCTGTCTTATCACTCCTTTTTTTTTTTTTTTTTTATGACAAGGGAAACC